CATGCATGCCCAAAATCCTGAGAGAAGAATGGAGGAGAAGGGATTGCTATGTGGCCAACCCCAGGGGCAGATTTCTCACTTTCTCTCTCTGAATATCTATCTTTCTATAGCAAGCACACACCTCGTACAGAAAAATTTAAAAAAGAAAAAAGATCATCTATTTTTAATTTGTCTTCATCTACTTCCTTTTCTATTTCTTTAATTTGCCTGCCTTATGGTTATTTATTAGTCTTTGGTGCCTTTGGAAAATGGGGAAAGGAAGAAAAAATTTAATAATTATTTTCATCAACTAATAGTATACTCTTAGTAAAGAAAGTTAGAAAAATCAAGAATTTCAATAGCTGGGACCAGCAGGTGGTGTGGTGGTTAAGGCACTGCACACTCCCACATGGCTGCCATGGTTCGAGTTCCATACCTGGTAGCTTTCTTTCTCATTTTCCCTCTCTTTCTCTCTCTCTTTGGTCAAATTTAAAATAAATGAATAAAGTCAAATAAATAAAAACTAAAAATAAAATAAAAATAAAAAAGAATTGCAACAATTTGAGCCAGTAGATGGTGTAGAGGTTAAGGCTCTGGACTCCCACATGGCCGACCACAGTTCAAGTCCCAGACCCAGTGGCTTGAAACTCACTCAAGGTGTGTGTGCACATGTGTGTGCCCCAAATCCTGAAATGAGAAAGGAGGAGAAGGGATTGTGGGATGGCCATCCCCCAAGGGGATGATTTTTCTCTTTCTGTCAGTCTCTCTGTCTCCAGCAAGTACACACACTATAGCAAACAAAACAAAAGGAACACACACACACACACACACAAAAGCTCTGAAAAAACAATAAGGAGGGACCAGTAGTGGTTATATCGCTGGGCTCCCACATGGTGACCATGGATCAAGTAAGGGACTCAGCAGTTTCAAACTCACACCATTGTGTGTGCGTGCATGCTCAAAATCCTGAGAGGAGACTGGAAGAGAAGGGATTGAGATGTGGCCATTGCCCCTGGGAGATGATTTCTTTCTTTCTCTCTCTCTGGTAAGTACACATGCACTATAGCAAAAATCTCTCTTAAAGAAATAAAGAATTGCAATAATTATTTATCTGTGTGTGGTAAGATGAATAATGGCTCCCAAAGAAATCCATTTCCTAATCCTTGGAATTCATGAATGCTATCTTACATGGCCAAAGAAACTTTGTAATTGTGATTACGTTAAGGCTCTTGAGATGAGATTATCCTGGATTATGTGAATAGGCCTTAAACATAATCACAGGTGTTTTTTAAGAAGGAGAGAAAGGAGGCTGGCAGGTGGCGTGATGGTTAAGGTGCTGGACTCCCCCAGGGCCAACCATGGTTTGAGTCCTGGACCTGATGGCTTGCTTTCTCACTTTCCCACTCTCTCTGTCTCTGGTCAAATTAAAAAATAATAAAAATTAAATAATTTTTTTGGTGATTTTCGGGACCAGCAGGTGGCGTGGTGGTTAAGGTACTGGATACTCCCATATGGCTGACCACGGTTCAAGTCCTGGATCTGGTGGTTTGCTTTCTCTCTCTCTCTCTCTCTCTCTCTCCCTCTCTGTCTGGTCAAATTAAAATAAATAAATGAATAAATGGAATTAAATAAATAATTCTTAATTTTTAAAAAAAAAGGAGAGAGAGGAATCAGTAGATGGCATAATGATTATGTCACTGGACTCACACATTGCCAACCTGGAATGCTGGACCTGGAGGCTTGAAATTTACACTGGATGTGTGTGTGTACATGCCCAAAATCCTAAGAGAAGAGAGGAGAGGGAATTATGGCATGGCCATTCCCCCTCGGGGATGGGGGTGACTTTTCACTTTCTGTCTTCCTAGCAAGCACATGCTCCTTATAGCAAAAATCTCTATTAAAAAAAAAAAAAGAAAAAGAAAAGGAGAGGGAACAGCAGTTGGTGTAATGGCTATGTCGCTGAATTCCCATGTAGTCGACTGTGGTTTGAGTCCTGGACCCAGTGGCTTAAACTCACGCTGGGTGCGTGTGCGTGCGTGCCCAAGATCCCGAGAGGAGAATGGAGGAGAAGGGATTGCGGCGTGACCATCCCTCCTGGGGGGTGATTTCTCACTTTCCGTCTCTCTTTCTATAGAAAAAACCTCTTCAAAGAAAAAAAAAAAAAAAAAAAAAAAAGGAGAGAGAGATTTTACTGTGGTTAGAGGAAACAGTGATAAGATGACAGAAGTAGAGACATGGCTGACTTTGAAGACAGAGGCCACAAGTGACCTCTAAGGAGCCACAGCCAGGGAACATAAGTGGTCACCAGATACTGAATCAGACAAGAAAATGGTCCCTTCCCTCAAAGCCTCCAGAAGAAACCAGCCTTGCTGACACCTTGTGTTTAGCCCAGTGAAAGAGACTGGAGACTTCTGACGCCCAGACTTGTAAGAGAATACATTTGTGGTGTGTTAGGCCTCTAAAATTTGTGGTGACTTGGCACAGCACCAATGGGAAACTAATACACACATTAAAGGAAAACAACTGGTGAAATTCTGAATTTCGACTTTTTGCACTATGAAAATCTAAAGTATGGAAAGATATACCAAGGTTTTCATTAGACAATACACATAAGGTCTAATAATAATAATTATTATAATTATAATAAAAGCCAGATGGGGGCCAGCAGATGATGTTGTGGTTAAGGCGCTGGACTCCCACATAACCGTCTGTAGTTGGAGTCCCAGACCTGGCTGCTTGATTTCTCACTCTCCCTTTCTCTCCTTTCTGTCTCTTTCTGGTCAAGTTAAAAAATAATAATAATCGGGGCCAGCAGCAGGCACTAGAATTCCCATATAGCCAGCCACAGTTCGAGTCCCATAACTGATGGCTTGCTTTCTCTCTCTTTTTAAAGAATTATTTATTTAATTTTATCTATTCATTCAGTTATTTTTTAATTTGACCAGAAAAAGAGGAAGAGAGAGAGAGAAAGTGAAAAAGCAAGCCACCTAACCTGTGGTTGGCCACGTGGAGTGGCCAGCACCTTACCCACCACATCACCTGCTGGTCCTTCTCTCTGTGTTTCTCTGGCAAAACTCATGTGAAAATTAATAAATAAATAAAATAATTCATTAAAAATTAATAATAACAAATTAAATTAAATTAATTAATAATATTTTTAAAAGATGGATGGGGCTGGTGGGTGGTATACTGTTCTCAGAACATACCCGTCACTAAGTGACACATGATTGCATATAGTAAAGATCCTGAAGGAAGGCCCCAAATTGGGCCAACTATGTGGCATGGTGGTTAAGGCAGCTAGATCTCACATGGTCAACTGCATGGTTTGAGTCTTGAGAAACACATAGGGCGCATGTGCACGTGTGCATGTGTGCCCAAAATCCTGAGTGGAGAAGGGAGGAGAAGGGATTGTGGTGTGGCCATGCTCCTTTGTAGGGAGGGCGCTTGCTCACCTTCCCTCTCTCTGTCTGTCTCTGCCTGGCAAGCGGATACACCCTGTATCAAATTTTAAAAACAGGGACCAGCAGGTGGCATGGTGGTTAAGGTTGCTGGATTTCCACACAGCTGACTACTGTAGTTTGAGACTTGGACCTGGTGGCTTGCTTTCTCACTTTCCCTTTCTCTCTCTCTCTCTGGTCAAACATAAT